TTCTCTCAATAATAATGATATTAACAACAACAACAACAACAACAATAACAATAACAACAATAACCATGACGACAGTAATAGAAACATCAATAACGACAATAGTAGTAATAATAATAATAATAATAATAATAATAATAATAATAATAATAATAATAATAATACGAACAATGTTAACACCTCTGTTGAGGGAACTGCAGTGGTTCAAACTTCTGTACCTGCCGTTCCATCATCAACATCGACTGTCAATAAAGGTCCAACGTCTACAATGGCGGCTGCGGTGCTTTCTATTCGTGAACGTCGTAATTGGCTTATTCATCAACTTTATATTCGACAAGAATACACGGAATGTCTTTCAATCATAGAATCTCAAATACAAGAATCTGGTGGGGTGTGTGAGTATGCATTATATGTAAAGGGATTATTAATGCGACGGAATGGAAAACTAGAAGAATCTTTTAATCTCTTTCAAACCGCCTTAATTATTAATCCACAAAACCCTATTAATCAAAAACAGGTTGCACAGGCATTAATGTTACTTGGACAACATCGTGCCGCCATTGAGGCTTTTCGTGAGGCTGAAAATTTACGTCTCATTAAAGGAATAGGTGAAGATTGGTCTCTCCCATACAATATGGGTCTTTGCTATATGTATCTTAACAATTATAAAGAGGCAGAGTTATCGTTTGTAAAGTCTATTAGTATTCAACGACATGATTGTTGTGTTATGCAATTAGGGAAAGCACTTGTACTGCAGAAGGATTATGAACGGGCTGTTGGTTTATATGAAGAAGCTCTTCAATCCTCTCCAGAAAATCCAGATCTTCTTACCGCATTAGGTCTTTTATATCTTCAATTAGGAAAAACCGCAAAAGCCTTTAACTCTGTGGCCAAATGTCTCACTTTAAATTCCTCTAATCCCACCGCTATTATGGCGGCGGCGGGTATTATGCAGGAGAATGGAGACTTTAGTGTGGCTTTACATAAATACCGAGTGGCGGTTCCCCGACTTTCTCACTCGGCACGTTTGTGGAGTAATATTGGTATGTGTTTCTTTGGTCAACAGAATATGCATGCGGCTGTGGCGTGTTTACGTAAAGCCGTTGCACTTGCACCGTTTGAATGGCGAATTTCATATAATATGGGACTTGTCTTTTTACACTTACGACAACTTGCCTCGTCATTTCATTATCTTGCTGCTACTACACATCTACAGCCACACTATGCTCCAGCCTTTATGCATCTTGCGGTGTGTCTGGCGTTAATGAATGATACTGTAAATGCCTATGCTGCTTATAAACGTGCACTTGCGATGGATCAGGATCCACTTATTTTATTAAATTACAGTATTACATTGGTAAATGCGGGTGATATGGAGGAGGCACGAATACAAATGGAAAAGTTTATGCGTATATGGGCATCTAAAAATAAGAATGAACGGGTGGAATGGGGACCATTGTTTTTAAGAACAGTGAATCTACTCAATGTGCGTCTCTCTCTAGGGACTGGGTTGGAGAATTTAAACAATATATGCGAAAAGAAGAATAATACTGCTGATGGTGGTAATAATAATAATAATAATAAGGAGTTTAGTACGACCAGCAGTAGTGGTAGTAGTACGCACAAGGATAAGGACAGTGGGAATGGTATAGAGGTGGAGACTAAAGGAGTGGCATCAGATGAAGTAAAAAATAATGACAATTGATAGACATGATTACAGGGGAGTGTATATTTTCATATATA